TTTTTTTGCGTTTTGCATTTATGTTTTTAAATATCTTGTGAAAAAGTACAGTTTTGCATACTTTTAATAAGTGTACTTATTATAACATACTTTGGAAGTGCAAACTGAATGTAATGTTTTTGAACACTTAATTAAACGGAAATGTACTGTAGGTTAAATTTATATTAAATGCCCACTTAAGTAGGACTTAAGTACATCAATATATGCAATTTCATGATTATTTCTATTGTCTTTTAAATTTAACAAACTTTTAATTTGACATCATTACAAAGTGCACTTTGTAAAAGTGTACTTAAAAAACTACTATCAGGATTCTGTGAAAAATTAGTGCTAAAAAGGTGTGAACAGTTATTGTTGCGACTGACCTTATTGCATATGCTTTTGAAGGAGTTTCCCCTTCGGATGCAAAATTTATGGGAGGAGAGTATTCAAATGTATCACGCAGCATGATTTACTAATATGTGCGGTAGTCAATTTACTGGCATTTGTGCCATAATTAAATGCCCAAAAAAGCATGTCTTAAACCAGATGCTAATTTGTGCTGTTCTTAGTAGATTCCGATGGTCATTATGGAAGAGATCTGGCTGTGTCTGCATTCTTTAATGTGTGCATTGTCATAAGAGCAACTGCAGAATTTTCCACTCCCATCATCGCTTTTATGGGATTATGAAAAAAGCATGATACTCACTTCATGATAAGGATGTAGACTCCATACATGGAGATCAGAAGCACTGATTCCCACCTATAACAATGCATTAATGGAGACAAAGATCAATAATACAACTCACATTTACATTACAACCATGCATTTAGCAGACACTTCATCAAAAAAGCAATTCATCAAACCTATTAACTTCCTAATGTTTCTAAATAATTACAGTACTATAATACCTCTGCAAATACAATACAATGTTTCTCATCTGCTTGAACATGTGGAGATGGGTGTAGAGGAAACACACAGCGGCGCGACTTACCATACAACTCTTTCATCATAAATAACCTGGATAAAATGAGACATTGAAGGGGTTAAATGAATGTTAATTGCTGATGAAGTTGTCATGTATAATTTGAATTAAAACTCTACTGAAGGAAATCTAGAGACTAGCGCTGGGAGTCATTATTGGGGCCATGTTCATACCTTAATAAAACAGAGGAGAAACTGCATTATACTATTTCCCTCTCTCTTTTGTCCTCTCTCATATGTACAGTCAAACATAGACTCACCAAAATCAAGGCCAGCACTGAGAAGATGTAGTACAGCGAGTCTCTGAACAGAGACCACCAGGTCAGGACCACCGTCTAGGGCAGAAATTGACAAAAGACACAAGAAACTGTGGCAAAATGCGTATTTCAGGTGTTCAATGTGATTCCAATGAAAAAAGGCTAAACTAACTCTTTTAAACTAACTCTTATCATTAATACTATTTACCTCCTTTGATACTTTGATAGATAGACAGACAGACAGACAGACAGATAGATAGATAGAT